AAATACATGTATACCACGAAAATATTAATAATCAAAGACAGAAAGACTTTCTAGGTGGCTGTGGGACACTTAAAAACAAGAATGAAGAAAGGCAAACCGACATGGGACAATATTGAAAATGGATTTTCAGTGAAGAAACATTAATAATTTGTTGCCACTTGAAAAATTACCCCAAACACAGCAACTTAAAAACATAAACTTTTTTTTTTTTTTTTTTTTGCAATGGTTCCTGAGGATTGGGATTCTGAAAGTGACTTACCTTGGGGGTTCTATTTTGGGTCTTCGCTCCGGGGTGAGGTAAAGAAGTAAGCTGAGGTTGAAGGCCCTGAAGGGCTGACTGTGAGTAGGAGAGAGCTGCTGCCTGGAGCCCCAGTTCCAACCCCCAAGAGCCCCTCCCACCTACAGAAAGCAGCAAAGACTGTGCTGGAGAAGCCATCCCTTTCTTTGTCTCGAAAGCCACACACTGTCAGGGTGATTCCCTTCTGTCCTTCACTGTGAGTCGTGAAGGTGGAAAGGAACAGAGTTCTTTAATCCGTGGAGATGATTTAAATCAGTGATTCTTCCCCTGTGGGTTGTAGCCCCTTCGGGTGTCAAACCATCCTCTCAAAGGCGTCGCATATCAGATATCCTGCTAATCAGGTATTTACATTCCGATTCATGACAGCAGCAAAACTGCAGTTATGAAGTAGCAAAGAAAATAATTCTACGGTTGGGGGTCCCCACAACATGGGGACCTGGATTACAGGGTCACAGCACTAGGAAGGTTGAGAACCACTGCGTCAAACCATCACAGTCCCCATCCTCTGGGCACAGTGTATTTCTGTTCCTCCCGCAAATACAATTCTCCAATCCTTCCCAACACTTCCCGAAGCCTCAAGCTTGTAGGCCTCAGAAGCAAGCCCAGATAACTTGCTAAGGCCGGCCCAATACAGATCAGTTTCCTCAGGTGTAGTTTCACAAGACACAGCCTCAAGGAGATTTTCTTTGTCAAAGCTCTGTGAACGAGACACACGGCTATCTAAAATGTCAACCGGTTATCTATCACTTATCTATTACCTCAACTGTCCGTCCTTGCCCTCCATCTTGCTTTGAGACCTCCTCTTTGCTGTTCCTTGCTCTGCACGCTAGTCTAGATGGCATGTGAGCAAGATGTCCCCACCTTGCATCTTACCATAGGTGCACTGGCATTCCAGATAAGGCTTATTGTGCCCTGATGTGCATAGGTTCTGGCCTCAAACTCCCAAGTACTGGAATTACAGGTGTGTGCCACCACTACACGGGCAGCTTTGGGAATTTTTAAAGTAATGAAAATGGCAAAATTCTCTCCATTAGTCACAAAACAGCAAACCAAGGAGGCCTGTTTCCTTCTCACTCCAACCTCATTCCAACACCATCCTTCCGCACAGCCTTCTTTTCTGCTGCCCCTAAGTAAAGTCTGAGTGTACAAAAATGTTCGCCATAGCTCCTTTCACATTGTGTCTTTTAACATGGAGTTTGGCGGGGTCAGGCTACGTAGCTCATGCCGGACAATGGGGATTTTTACGGGATTTGACCAGGCGCTTGTCCAGTGTGTCATCCCTGAGCAGTGACCAGAGGGCGATCGTGAGAGGTCAGGAGGGCTGAGTCAGGAGCTGATGCTGTGCTGAGTCAAAGGTCACTGAGGGCCACACCAGGAAGTGCCTGCAGTTGTGCTGAGGGAAATGAAGGGCACTTAGCCAGTCCCAGCTGCTCAGCTATAAATTGAAAGTGTTTGCATGCGTCTATTGCATCTTTCTCCACGGGGCTTTGTGGATGTCAATCAAGTTAATGAAATATCACCCACACAGAAAATACATTGCTAAAATAGCAAGATTGTGTGAGTCAGAATTTAGCAGCTAGGTGTGTGTGTATGGGGGGGGTGTATGTGTGGTGTGGTGGTGTGTGGGTGTTTGTGTGTGATGTGTGTGTAAGTTGAGTGTGTGTCTATGGTGTTTGTGTTGTGTGTGTGTATGTGAAGTGTATATGTGTGGGGTGTGTATGTGGTGTGATAAGTGTCTGTGGTGTGTGTGCATGTGTAGTGTATATGTGGTGTAGTGTGTGTGGTGGGGTATATATGTGGTGTGGTGGTGTGTGTGTGAATGTATGATGTCTGTGTTGTGTGTATGTGGGGTGTATATGTGGTGTTGTGTGTGTGTGAGTGGTGTATGAGTGTATGTGTGTGCCTGTGTTGTATGTGTGTGTAGTGTCTGTGGTGGGGTGTGTATGTGCTATAGGGGGGGGTGTGTGTGTGGTGTTATGTGTATGGGGTGTGTATGTGATGTGGCGTGTGTGTGTGTTTGTGGGGTGTATAAGTGGTATGGGGTGTGTGTGTGTGTGTGTGTGCAAAGTTTGGTGTGTGTGTGCAAAGTTTGGTGTGTGTGTGTGTGTGTTTCAGGGGATCCAGCCCGGGGCCTTAGATATGGAAGAATAGTCCTCTCCCACTGTGCTACAGCCCCCGCTTTTTTTTTTTTTTTTAATGGCAGACTCTTTCCAAGTACCATAAGTTAGCCTAGAACTCAATATGTAGCCAGGCTCACCTGAAACTCAGAATTCCCCTGCCTTGCTTCCTGAGCACCAGAGTTACTGTGCCCAGCCAGTCTAGGAATTCTTAACAGACTTTTAAAACTTACGACTGATGCCCTAAAATATCACGACTTAGTTCTATGATAAAGTAAAACTCATGTAGATATCAAGTCATTAGGACTTAGTGGTGAATCTGAAACCTTGGTGGCTGTCTTAAGGTTTCTATGGCCCTGAAGAGACACCATGACCACGGTGACTACTATAAAGGAAAACATTTAATGGAGGTGGCGGCTCACAGCTACAGAGGTTCAGTCCATTATCATCATGGTGGGACATAGCAGTGTGCAGGCAGACATGGCGCTGGAGAGGTAGCTGAGAGTTCTACGCCTTGTAGACAACAGGAAGGAGACTAAAACACTGGGCAGTATCTTGAGCACATGTGAGACCTCAAAGCCCGCCTTCACAAGGACACACTTCCTTTGACAAGGGCACACCTCCTAATAATGCCACTCCCTTTGGGGCTCATTTCTTTCCAGCTCCACAGCAGTGAACATCAATGCTTAAGGAACATAGTGGGTGGCTAGGATGGAAGACTGAGAGGAGTATGGCACCCCCAGAGCACAGGCCCCCAAAGCACGAGGAAATGACACTTAGTGCCACACTGTTGCTCTGTGGGACAGTGGATGGGACTGCTCTGGCTAGAGGACAACTAGACAGCATCTCCACTACATCAGAAACAAGGCGACGTTGCTAGGATGTTCTGGAAATTTACACACATGGTACTCTGTTGAAGGTGCCCTGGCTAAGGCTGGTTGCTTCCTCGTGGTTGGAGAAGTGTTACATCATTTTGCTTTATCCCAAGCTATGGGTTTTTTGAATTAGTTAACATAGACTTGTACAGGATTTGTACAGTGTTAAATAAAGAGTATACGTAGGGGCTGGAGAAATAGTTCAAGGTTTAAGAGCACTTACTGCTCTTGCTGAGGACCTTGGTTTGTTTCCCTGCATCCACATGGTAACTCACAATCACCTATTACTCCAGCTTCAGGGGAGCAGATATTACCTCGTGTGGTAAACACGAGGCAGGCTCATGATGCACACAATGATACATATAGTCCATACACTCATAGATATAACTTTAGACACACCTATATACATATATACATATATGCTCACACTAGCAAGAGAGAGGGTTCCAGAAGTCTTAGACTCAAGCCACAAAATCCATTTAACCTTATTCAGCCCTGTGTCTTCCACATTATATGACCTATGAGTCTTGTTCTTTAATTTATAATTAAAGAACATGTGACACAATGTGGCATGCTCAGTTTCAATAAGAAAGAACCAAATAAACTAATCAATCTAAGCTTATTGTTTATTATTACTATAACAAACTAATCAATCTAAGCAAATCCGACGCTTGCGTGGGCTTGTGTCCACGCTACCTTACCTGCCCCTCCTACCAATCATCGTTTCATTAGCACCTGGGATGTGAAGATGATTCTGGGCCCTCACGCCTCACAACTGAGCCCACGGGGTACAGTTGTTAAGAAAGAACCAGCTCCGCTCTGCTTAGTTAAGATCACTTACCCACGAATGTACATGTTTCTCTGGATACACGTGACATGTGTGTGCAGCTGTGTGCAGGTGTATGTAATGTGAAGGCCAGAATACAACCTCGGATGTCATTCCTTAGTTACTGGACACTTCGTTGTTTTTTGTTTGTTTGGTTGGTTTTTTTTTTTTTTTTTTTTGGTTTTTGAGTTTTTGATTTGCTTTATTTTATTTGTTTTGTGAGACAAGATATATCATTGGCCTGAAGCTTGCCAAGCAGTCTAGGCTGGCCAGTGACACCTGTTTCTGCTTCTGCAGCACGAAGCCTTTTAATGCATAGGTCGCCACACAGGGCTTCTAATGCATAGGTCATCACATGTGGCTTGTAATGCTGTGGGTTCTGGAGAATTGAACCCAGGTCCTTAATGTTTGGGTGGCAGGCAATTTACCGGCAGAGCTATCATTCCTGAGTAACAACAGCAACAACAACAACAACAACAAACAACAACAAAACTTCTCTAACACTTGCCGGTAGCCTTCTGAACACATGACAGATAGGCAGATAAGTCCTCCCTGTAGCTTGGATCCCTTCTGCTTTGGTTTGTGATGTGTGACCCACTGTAAGGACGCTCTACCCTGCCAATGGTTCTCTGACCAATCTAATGCCATTAGCCTGGGTCTCATTTACCTTCTTTTCCAATTTGTAACCATAGGGTAAATGATCATGGTATTTACCTTCTAGAGTTTTGTGAGCCGGAATTTTTTAAAATATCAAACAAAAGCTTAAATATCACCAAACCGAAAGCCCTATCAGAAACAACACAACACCCAATAAGTGGCAATGACCAGAGAAAACAAGTTTCCCGTGAACCTAGACCTCTGGAAGAACGGTAAGCCACACATACCTAAAAGGCGTGCAACGGAGATCACAAGTCACAGTTGGCGCTGGCGGGTATGTAAAGGTTTTTTGAAAGGTGTCTTGGAAATATTTACACCTAAAATAAGAAAAAGAAAAAGAAAAGATGCTGATTAGAAAGTAAACAACTTGCTTACACAGTTGTTCTTAAACAGGAACCTACATTACTAACAGACAATGTATACGAAAAACACAAAAATCACCACAATGAAAAATTAGAAGTCAAACATGAATCCTAGCTAAGACACAACAGTCAGAAACCATCACTTTTACTGGTCCAGGGATCCTGTAGCTTACAATAATTGTTGTTTTCATTTTAAAAAAATCAATCCTGCTGGAGACTATTTGAGCTAGGTACAGGCTTCCCGTGGTTTTTGCCTGTTTTACACAGTCAGAAAATTTTTAAGTCCCGTCAATCAACCAGCAAAGCTTTAGCGGATGCATCGCTAGATGGCGCTAAGCCCGCTGGTGCAGGACCCGAGGAAGCCACTGGCCTGTGAGACAATCCAAGACTGTAAAACAAGTTTCCTGTTCTGGTTCCATTTTAAATGTTCATACTCAGATACAGACACGGATGAATTAAATATACCGTTATTCATAGTGAAAACTAATTGAATTTAATAAGAACAAAACAGCGCTGGAGAAGCGACTGACAGCCTCGCGACTCTTGGTCGACCTTTGTCAGGACGAAACCCAACCTCCAAACTCTAGAAGCTCCAGGAACAAAACAGGAAGCAAACACATTGTGGACTTTCTTTGCAGATAAAGCCTGCCATTTGTAATATTTGTGTAGAGACAATGGGGCCTGGATAATAAAGGCTCAAGGAGGAGACGGTTTCCTTGCACGGAAATGCGGGAGGATAATACAGAATTAATCAAAGGAACTCTGCGAGCGAAGAACACAGGCGCGCACGGTGTCAAATCATAAAGGGGGGGGGGGGACCAAGTGTTTCAGAACAGCAAGCTGCGGGGAGTAGAAAATGCACCTTTGTACAGCAGCCAGAGATTCCGAGCCGGAAGCGGGCCTCGTACAGGAATAGAACTGGGCCTGGAGATGAAATCACTTGACGAAGTCCACTCTTGGGTAATTCGGGGTAGCCGTGTGAGGATCCCTCACTGTGACTAACTTTTGCTTTTTGCTTTTCCCACCATGCATATGTCTAGCTAATGACGCTTAGCAAAGTCTAAGGCGAGGAAGGCACGCGGAAGCCTCCCCTTGCTCTCCGCTCGCCTCTGCACACGCGTGCGCATGCGCACACACGTCCACCAGTCTAACAATCCAGGAAATTGCAGGAAGCCGTCCGAAACCTTGCCGGTGCCCAGTCACCACTGCCCCAGATAACTATCAAACTAAGCTGGAAACGAGCCCCGCTGGCTTTCATTCACACAGGAAGCCTGACTCCAGCTGTTGGCCCCTCTTTTACAACCTGCCCCATATCCACAGAGAATGTCTTGACAGAAACACAAGGGGGTAAAAAAGACAGAAGCCGAGGATCTTTTCCGAAGGAAGACGACGGATCCCGAGAAGTTTAGAGGGAGGCCTGATGATTGTGCAAGAAATTTGGTAACCGTGACATCATTGTCTTTTCCAGCCCAGGGAAACAGCCTTTGGAGGCAGTTATTCAGATAACTCCAGTGAAAGCCACGTGTTATCTCAACCGCTCTTAATGTTTCTAGTTATCGTCCAATACATTTTGGTCTGAGGAGAAGTGATGAAGGAACCCGTCCTAGTACAATATAATATAAGCCGTGGGATAGAACAAGGGACCCGACTGTTTTGAGCCTCTTACATCAAAACGAATTAGCCATGGCCTCACAGAATACTTCTTTTCAGCGAGGAGGTGAGAGTCGGTGGTCTTTAGCACTTAGTGACCCCCATAAGCCCTTGGCTATTTCTCCCTGTTTAATTTTTTCTCTTGTCTCAGTGGTATGGGCTTGGCCTCAAGAACAGAGGAAAGAAGAACAAGGTACCTCACTGGCCTTTGGGACAATTTGTGGGTCTCTTAAGACCTCCAGAGATACATGCATTCATCTCAGAACTCCCCATATCCTTAAAAAATGAAAATGAGAAAGCCAGGCCTACCTATAACCTGGACGGGCAGAGGCAGGAGAATGGGGAGTTCAAGGTCATCTTCTGCTCCAGGGAAAGTTCAAAATCTGCCAGGTCATTTGAGACCTTGTCTCATCAACAAAAACAACAAGAACTTTTAGGATTTCAGATAGCTTTTAAGGTAGATTATTGATAAAGCAGTTCTCCTCATTTTACCCACAGGAGATACATTTCACTACAAGACACCAGAGGGTAACTTCAAAAAGTACTTACTACCACTTTTGGCTTTTCTCTTTTTCTTTCTTTCTTTTTTATTTTTTGGTTGTTTTGTTTTGGGTTTTTGTTGTTGTTGTTGTTGTTTGTTGTTCTAGTCAGGGTTTCTTTGTGTAACAACTCTCACTGTCGTGGAACCCACTTTGTAGACCAGGCTGGCCTCGAACTCACACTACCTGCCTCTGCCTCCTGAATACTGGAATTAAAGGCATGAGCCACCACCACCTGGGTGATATTTGTTTTTTATAAACATAGAGGCTTGCACAGCATCTTATCATCTCAGAATGAATTAAAGGATAAAAGTTAGTTTCTTATTCCAGGTGATACATCAGAGGAAAAAAACTCTTAAATGATAATTAATCATCATAATTAATAGTATAAGGAATATGCATGAAATCAATTGTGAAAACTCTTTTTGTTTTCACTAGTCAAATTCCAATCCATAGGTGTGTGAGGAATCTTCAAAGAATTTTCTTCTAGGATTTTTTCCACTTCCTGTTTTCGGAGCATGAATGACAGCTGGTAACTGCAAACAAGGAAAAATGAAAGTTAGGAAAGGAGAGACTGGATTTAACACACTGGAAATCAACGCAGAGGAAACCTTAAGTATCTATTCACTTAAAAGTGACCATAGGAGCTGGAGAGATGACTCTGTGGTTAGGAGCCATTGCTGCTCTTTCAGCAGACCTGAATTCAGTTCCCAGCCCCTTTTAAGAAATAGCTCACAGCTTCCTGTAGCTCGGGGGTACACGGGATCTAGCGCCCTCTTCTGGCCACTATGGACATTCACACACATAGCAGGCATTCGCACAGACACAAAAGTAACTTTATGAAAAATGTCATTCTAAAGCAAAAATACAGCATATACAGTGATATTATTTGTGGCTGACATGTCTTTTTACTCTGCAGCTTAACAGGAAGTAGCTGGGTCCCCACAGCTCCTCGGTGTACGCCCTCCGTCCCGTGAATAAATAGTTTCTTAAAATAAGTATGCTTTAAAAAAAATGCCGTGCCCAGGCTCAACATGTAGCAGTTCTTTTAAAATGTTAATTTCAGCACAGCATCTGCAAACTTACCAGTAGAGTTTTGAAAGCCCTGCTACCTACCAGAAATCCACTGATCTGTCTTGGCTTAGAGAGGAGCCTAGCCATGCATGACTTCATAACCTTTGGGAAACACTGGTTCGTCAAGCCACATAAGCTTTCCAGATTTTAATATATTTTACTAAATGTCCCATTAAGTTTTCCTAGGGAGATGTGAATAAATGTCCATTCACCACAGACAGGGTCCCAGTGACTGAACAAACAAACAATTCCATCCAAGCCTAGCTTGGCGGACCAATGAGCTTAATAGGGGTTATTGATAGGATGATAGGGGAGGAGGGCCGACAGCAGTGGTTCTCAACCTGTGGGTCGCCATCAATTTGGGGGTTGCATGTCGAACATTTATTTTGCAATTCACAATAGTCACAAAATTAGTTACAAAGTAGCAATGGAAATAATTTTATGGTTGGGGGTCACCACAACATGAGAAACTATATTAAAGGGTTTCAGCATTAGGGAGGTCCTACAGCACTGTCCTACAGCATAGGTGACTACACACTAAAGAAAGGTCCTTTTCCCCCAGCAACTGTCAATTGTCTATATACCCTCCGGGAGGTGCGACTCCCTGTGTCTCATGTCACCTCACGTGGGGTCAATGAGCTGCTCATATACTCCTCATGGTCCTTTTTCGCAGTGGGCCCAGTCATGTGACGATCTTGTCTTAGCAGTCATTTGATGCTCTGGTTCCAAGATGGCGATGTCCGCATCATGTCTAGAGGATAACATGTCACACTGCGTGGTCTTTCAAAGACTGTGTCTAGAGAATGACATGGTACATTGCATGGTCTTTCAAAGATCACCCTTATTAATGTCTCCAGGAATCACCATCATTCCCATTAGGATGGTCTGGCCCACTCTAATGGGCTAAGTTTTTTTTTATACTTTTAATGAGATGTATGTGTGTGTGAGTGAGTGTGTGTGTGTGTGTGTGTGTGTGTGTGTGTGTCAAGTACCTAGAGAGGTCACAGGAAGGTATTGGACCCCTGCAGCCATTGGGAGCTAGCCACCCAATGTAGGCGTTTGGAGTCAAACTCTACAACAAACAGCCGAGCTGTTGTTTTTCGAGCCCCGAGTTTTCTACGCTTCTACTATTCTTCCGAGTTCAAATTTTATCTCTGTCTCCCCGCACCATCTGACCTTATAGTGAGGAGATGAGGTCACTCTTCCTCTGTGAGAAGTTGTCCGTGGAATATCCAGGTCTCAAGAGCTAAAGTCTCTGCCATCCTTAAAGGGTGTTCCAGCCATAAAAACCAAACAGTACTTCATTTGACACAAAACTCAACTGTCAAGAATAGTCCTCATAAAAACAAGCACTCTTCGGGGTTCAACAGAAGCGTTTGACTTAGTAGCTTGGCCATGTGGTTCCCAAGTGGTCACATCACACAGAGTCAGTTCTGTCCTACAATGGGATTGAACTCAGGTCCTCAGACTTGGTTGCAAGCACCTTTACCCAGGGAGCCAACTCGCCAGCCCCAGCCATGCTTTTCTATCGCAGGAATTGTTTTTCCTGCTTAGAAGTCTCCTGGGCTGTAGCAGCCTTTCTGTCTGAGCCTGGGGAACAGGGCGAGGAAATAATGCGATTTGTTAAGGAAGAGGAGAAAGACGAGGGAGGTTTGTAGTTCTTCCAGCGGCCTATCCCATCTCTGCACTACCCATGTGAGGTGTAGGCAAGGCAAGAACATTCCTCCTGAGTGGAATATTCTGGAGGTGGGGCTAGCTGGAGACTGCAAAACTCCCAGGACACCACAGAGAAGATCAGAAAGCAGCAGGAGAGATGTCCAGGTTCTTCAGAAATGCCTCTTTAGAGATGATTTGTGCTCTGAAAAACTAAGCTGGGATACCAGGTCTATTCTAAGTGGCCACACTGTCCTTTCCAGCGTTTCTTAGCTGTGCCCCCCGACTTCAGTGCCAACCTCCAGTTCACCTAGGCTTCCTGCAAAGGTCTGACTTGGAGCTTGCCTTCTGTCTCTCTGGTCTGCTCAGCTTCTTGGTTTGAACAATTTCCTCGTTAAACATAGGCTCATTGTCCCGAGTGGACCTACAGCGGTAGGTGTAGGAGAAGGAACAGGCCGGCCTCTGAAAGGCCCATTTAACGCCATCTGGTTAAAATCACAGGCCTGAATGAGCTCAAGGAAGACCTGGTGGCTCAAATCCTCCCTGTTCAAATATTTTCCCATTCCCCCCCCCCCACCTCCAGGATCATAAATTTCACAGAGAAGAGAAATAAAGGGAATGAGATATTAGTCTGGGTGTAACTTCTACTATGCAATGTCGTCCCAATTATTTTTAGACAAGAAGCTCTTGTTTGTGAAGGTCCTTCCAGGACCTCGGCAGAGGGTAGCAAGGACTGATAACATTAGGTAGGAAAAGGCTGAGGTTGTGCATTGTAATCCATTTCCTTTGACTCTGGACAACCAAAGAAGGAAGCATCAGGCAAGCTCACTCAGGAACTCCCAGCATGCTTATCTAAGCAGCTGCCTGGGCAGAAGAGGAAGTCCCACAGCTAATCCAGAATACAAAGCCCGAGTGCTTGGGATGCTCAAGGGGACTCACCAAACTCAATGACAAGGTAGGGACAGCAAGGTGAGTCACTTGAGGGTCACACGCCTCGGTCACTCCTGATTTAAATGGGGCAGTGAGGAGGATGGGGTGCGAAAAACAAAAAGGACTTCATTGTTTTGCTTTGTTTCTTTGAAGCATCCCAGGCTGCCCTTGAACTTGTAATCCCTTTGCCTCTGTGTTCAAGTGCTAGGATATATGTGTGTGCCATCATGCCTAATAATTTAATTTAATTTTTAGCTTCTGGAGTTTTAAAAATTGTCACACCAGGGACCTATGAGGTGGTTTGTGGGGAAAGGTTCTTGCCACCAAGCCTGACCATCTGAGCTCATTCCCTACAACCTATACTGAGAAAGGAAAGAACCAGCTCCTACAAGTTGTCTTCTGACCTCCACACAGGGGCTGTGTGTGTGCACAGGCATGCATACACAGACACATGCATGAAGGCGCACACACAGAGAGACATACAGATATACATACACAACATAAATAAATGTAAAAAACCCAGGCATGGTGATATATGCCTTTAATCCTACCATTTAGGAGGCAGAGATAGAAAGATCTCTAAGAGTTCGAGCCCAGTCTGGTCTACATAGCCAATTCCAGGACAGCCAGGACTGCATAGAAAGACTCTGTCTCAAAAATACCAAACATATAAAAGTGAAAAAAAAAACAGAAAAAATTTTAAAAATTATCTTTCCCAAAACTGAATGTGCCAGGTAAACCATTTGAGTGTTCTGAGTTCTGTGGCTATGAGAAGAACATTGGTTTGAATTACAGTCTGGTGAGTGACCACCAACTCAGCCAAAGAACCTGGCTTGCATAGAATTTTTATATTTAGGAATATCTCTAAATACTTTTAATGTCCTGCTACCACACTTCCAGTAGCAAGACACAGAAGAAGGAAGCTTTTGCCCTTTGCCTGTTTGCCCTCACTCTAAGATAGCAAAGACATTCTCCCACTGGTATCAGAAACTACTTCTTGGGGGACATTGACTGAAGACCAGCGGAGACATCCGGGGATTAGCCATAGCATCGGTAAATGTCCCTGGAACGGACTGGCCATGTCCCTTATATCCTTCCCTCATTCTGCACATACTCCTGAATCCTTACACACTGGATATCGGTTGCCTTTGTGTGGTTTCATTTGAAGTTCTCAAGCAGATATAACCCACTTAGAGATTCTTAACCTAGTTTTGGCTCCTTAGCTCGGAGTCTGTCATCACCAACGATGTATTCGAACAGCAACAAACTGGCAAACACTTTGTTCAGTTCTTACAGACAAGTCCACGTCTACTTTTTCTTCCATTCAACGTGAAGATTTCATAGAAAGCGAAGCCACGGTTTTGAGTTGTTTTCTTTCGTGTAGGTTTTCGTGGTGCTTCTTTTCTTTCCTAAACCTGCAACTGATTAAGGTGTAAACCTGGCGATTTGTGTCTCCCTTACTCCAGCTTCTCAGGTCTGCCTCTGCAGGTGGAGATTTGAAATGACTGTCTAGTCAAGGACTGAAGCTTCCGACTTCTAGACAATGGAATTGGGCTCACCGTGAGATTCCGCAACGAGGCAGGAGAACAGGCTCACGAGGCGCAGCGTGGGATGGCGCAGCTCTTAACCTTATCTTCCGGTACTGCAGAAAGGACAGACAGAAAGGACGTCACACTCCAGGGTGGCTCAATGAGCAGCAGGAGGACCGAGTGTCATATTGCTCGTTTTGATGACTAGTGAGCCTTCTGGTACTGATGCAGAAGAGCGCTGATCAAAAACAAAGGCAAGAAAATCACCGGGTTAGGTAGGTGCTGCTGAAAGAAGATGCTAACACTCTGCTATGAAGTGTCGCTAATTAGAAAAGATCAACAGGATGCAGTTTTTGCCCTCTCCCCCGCTTTGAGTGTCATCTGTTGGGAGTAGAGTTCTGAAGTGTTACTTTGTATCCTTTCGATATCATAGACTTACGGTATACCAGGTGGTAATAATAAATGCGGTGAGATTGCTTTGGTCAAAAGTAAATGTTCTTGTATGACAGCTGCGAGGCCAAGCCGTACATTTCTCCAAACTCGGAGGGCGGGTTAAGTCTCCATGGCTTGTTTCCTATAAGGCTTTCGAGGAAGTACAGATGCACTTCTGAGACTTTGGAGCTTAACTCGGCTGTGTTGAATAAGCTGGTAAAAGATGCCGTCCAAACCGGAGGGTCTCGAGAAGGTACACTCCTTATCTCTAATAGCCTCAGAGTCACTCTTTCCACCAAAAGAACAAAAAAAAAAAAAAAAAAAAAGCCTAAGTAAAAACACACACTTCCTGAGTGAGATCAGTCAGTGTTCTCCTTCCCTAAGAGGCAAACAAAACTGGGGCCAGGAGGTAGAATGGAGCTGGGGGGAGGACGGTGTTTGGAGATGGTAATATGTAATCTAAGAGCCCACGGATAAGAAGTGCTTATCTCTGCAGAACTCAATTTATAGACTTAGTGTCAGATAACCTAGAGTGGGGAGGACAATTAAGGCGGAGGAGTCGTCTTGACCCCCGGCACACCTGGTCTGGTCACACGGTGTATTTGCAAAGACAGCAGAAAGCAAGAGGAGAGTATAGGAAGACCAGGAGTCCCGGGCTGGGCTGTAACGTTTGCAATGACTGAGCACTGCGGGAGGAGAAGTCAGGTCAGGGGCCTGGTGGGAAAGTTTAATCAATGGGTTATTTACAGGAGTGTGAGCGGCGTGTAGGAAAACCTCAACGACACTGATGTTTTGATGGCAGCAGCAGTGTAGAGCCATCTCTATAGGTAGCATTAAAGATCAGAAGAAAGAGAAAGGAAGGGGTGGCCGGGGAGAGAAAGAGAGGAAGGGAGGGAGACAAAGGGATGGCAATCTCTTAGGATCTGGGGCTTTCCGGAGGGTGAGACAGCCAACCTGAGGGGACCCACTGAGAGGAAGTTATGAGTTTACCAACCTTACCCACCTCCAGCCTTCAAAATCTTGTTTGGAACATTCACAGGACAAACCTTCCTGGAAATCAGTGAGACTATTGATGAGGCCCATAAATAGTTGATGTGCCAAGACAGGTTGGAAAGGGGGAAATGGATTGAGAAGAACCACCAGGGAACATTCAGCATGAGGTGCTTTTCTAAACAGGTCTATGTACTCACTGGGAGTAGTTAGCATACAGGTGAGAGGTAAAACTGTAGAAACAGATGAAGTCACAGGGGAGAAGATTCAAGAAAAAGTCACTGAGCTACAAAGAACACTAACAGCTGGGGAAGAGACTGTCACGTGACAAGGGAGACCAGAAAGGGAAAGCTAAAGATGTGAGAGAAACGGGATACTCTGGTGTCATTGGGAAGAATCAGGAGACCATTTCTAAGCAAGACAGCTATACAGCATGGTGGTCTTCCAAAAATTTAAGCCGGGTGGGGGTGGCACACACCTTTAATCCCAGAACATGTAAGCTCACATGCTAAACCAGGGGCTGTGGAGATGGTTCAGTGGTTACGTGCATGTCATACAATCGTAAGGACTTCAGCTCGGATCCGTGGTACCCACACAAAAAGCCAGGCATTGTACTGTGCACCTGGATTCCTAGTGCTGGAGAGGCCAAGACTGGGGATCCCTGAAATTTCCTGGCCAGCTGGTCTCGCCAAGTCTGTGAGCTTCAGATTCAGTGAGAGACTGTCACAAAACAAACAAAATGAAACAGCAGCCACCACAAA